TCTGTGTAGCCTTGGCTGTTCTGGACTCGATTTGTAGACCAGGCTGGCCTTGAACTCACAGCGATTAGCCTGCCCCTGCCTCCCTGAGTGTGGGGATTAAAGGCATGCACCACTGCTCCTTTTTGGCCTCTTGGCAGTCACCCCAGGCTCCTCTCCCTTCCCCCTCCTCCCCTACCCTCTTTTTGAAGGCCCTTTCTCAGCCTGCTGGTCTCTACCAGATGCCTCTGCCTGTTTTGTCCGATATATCCATAATAAACCGTCTCCTCTACCCATACCCAGAAGCACCATGTCCTCCTTATATTCATTTTTCCATTCAGTTACCTTCCTCTGGGTTTCCTGCAGCCACATTGCTCATAGCCTCTTGCTTCAAATTCCTGCCGCAAGGAATCTTATCTTTCCTGTGCATACAAAACTCGGTGCCCCCTGGTTTTTACAAACTAAAGGTCCTAGTGAATTTCCCTGTCCGTCCAGAGTCCTGCACCCAGGTGCCATGTCCAGCTGAGGGCTGGAATCTGTCCACCTGAACAGTGGAAGATAAAGTCATCCATTCATTTATCCTGCATGCTGTCATTTCCATGCTCTCAGGTTCCAAGTATAATCTTAGGTGCCAAGGACAAAACAGCGTGAGGCAAGCAAGGAAGAGCCGCAGTGGCCCACTTGCTTTGTAGAAAGGAATACAAGAGGAAGTCAGGATGCACATCTGATTGTCGGTACCTGCGCTTTCATTTCCAGCATGTGTCACTTTTCCCCGAGTATGTTAAGTCTTTTGATCAATTATGTAACATTAGATCACCATGTAAACACATGAAGTGTAAGGAGGAGCAGGGAAGGGGAACACATTCACTGTGTAGAAGCTCAGATGACTTCAGGAAGGGATCATAAATCTCAAGGTTTTCATCTGAAAAATGTTTGGCTGTTGTCGTCTTGGTGGGTCTGTCAGCTCTGAGTTGTCTTTTTTTGTTTTTTAATTTGAGGACTACACTAGGGCTTGCTATTGGCCTTTATATCCTGACATTGCTTAAACGCATGGCCTTTTCCATACACTTCTACCCGGAATCCAACCCAAGCTACACCAAAACCCCACAGAACACCCACCCCGCCAGGCCATGGCTTTTCAGGGACTGGTATATTCTCCCAGCCTTGGTAGCACTGTCTTCTGTCTCCCGAGCTTTGGAGTGGATGTCTCATCTGGAAGGGGCGCCTTGGAGTCCATAGTTCTGTCAACCATGAGTCAGAAAGAGAAAGAGATGTCAGGTGACATTACAGAACGCTGTGGAAGTTCTTGTAGCCTCTGCCCCTCTCATGCCTACTGTCACCCACACCATTTTAAAATGAGCGAGGTCAGGCCCAGCAACAGGAAAGTTCCATGTTAATTGGTGGCAGATCCAGGGCTTGAACCTAGCAATCCTCCTGCCTGCTCTGTCTAGGGCTTTTCCCATTCTGCCCACAGAGGAAAGCCTCCACCACTCCCAAATGTATCCATCTCCCGGTGACAGCAAAGCAAGACTCAATGTTATCCTAATCCAAGTAGCTGAATCATCAATAGCAGAAGCTTAGAAGCCTCTGTTTTTCTCAGTAGCAAGGTTAGGCTTGTGTGTACATTTAAGAGAGGAGGATTTGAAAACAAGCCATTGCCACCCTTTCTCAGTCCTGTTCTCCAGAGCAGCAGCAGCATGATCAGATAATCACATCAAAGATAAAAATTGAAATGGGCCACTGGGAACCAGTTCAGAGAAGTCATGCTGTTGCCAGAGCTTAATTAAGGGATCTTTTAATACAGGATTTGAGATTGGCTCTGCGTAGACGATGGCCATAGCTCTATCAAGTGCCCAGTGATGCATGCTGGGTGCCACACTGCATTAACCTGTGCTAAATACGTGGGTTTCCTTACCAGGATGCAGCGCTAGGGACCAGTGGGGAGAATCCCTCATCCCAAAATAAACTGCCATGCTGTTTTATTCTCCTGAACCCCACTGCCTCACTGAGGTTTTCTGGGGTACAGCGGAAATGCTATTCCTGTCAGTGAGGTCTTCATGAGTCCTGGACAAGATACCATCATCTCTTCTTAGACTGATAAACTGCACTGAACCATGGCGGGAAACCCCTCACCTCACCTTCCTCCCCAGTCCATCCACTTCTCCCCTCCCTTAGCTCTCTTCCTGTAGAATCAGGTGTTCCTCTGGGTCAGAAGAATCCCCCAAGCCCCAAAGTAGCTCCTCAGTTCTCTAAACTGGTTCCAGCTCACCCCAAATGGGTGCTTCTGTCAAAAAGTATCTCAGCTTCATGAGGTTGGTTCTTTTGAATGCAAACCAAAGGGGGGGGAGCCTACAAAGGCCCTCAGTGCACTCATTAAGACAGCCCACACCCAAGGGGAGCAGTGAGGCTGATCTCCAGAGAAGCTGAGGCAGAAAGGGGAAGGACCGGGTGAGGCTGGCTATCATAAAAGGCACAGGAATGAGGAAAGGAGGCGTGCTATCTGCTAGAAACCAGCTGTGCAGAGGCAGCATGGCCAGGGACCCCAGATCTGTGGAGTGCAGCTTCAGCTCCAGGCAGATTCTGTTACCATCTTAGGTGCTTCATCTCCCCCTTCTAGAAAGCCAGCATCTAAGGAAAAGAGGTTGCTAGTGGAGTGAGGAGGTTTTCTACACACACACACACACACACACACACAGTCATTGTAAAGACTTTCAGTAGTGTTAGCAAACGATTACCAAGATTCATTATTAAGTGAACAGAAATTAGGCTGCAGCCAACTGTTTTGTGTATATGGTGGTCTTCTCGTTTTCAGCAGGGTCATCCTAAGACCCCCAGAGAATGCAGATACTACCAACATGAACACACACGCATATGTTAGATCATGAGAGGTCTACCTGTTGCACTCCCCCAGAATTCCTAAAGAGGGAGGCGGTGGGGCATGAGTTCTCCGAGAGTATCAAAACCTTCGCCCATGGAGGCATCAGATGTGCTCCGACTGTTGAAAGGAAAGTGGGGGAGGGGCGTTAGCATCCTGTACTTTTGCTGTCTTAGGTCTGTCTATTTGGCTTGGTTTGGGTGGGGTGGGGTATCCTGGGGAGATGTTGGATAGCCCTCCCCCCCCAAGTTTAGGTTCTCCTAGATTCCTGTGAGTGTTGATGCTACTCTTTGCTTTTCAGGCTCTCTCTTTCACCAAGGCCATACTTGTCTGTGCTCCTCGAACTTCCTCCTGAGAAGGAATGTGGAACATTGTTTTATCTCCTGATTTCATGTCTGAGCTTCCCCCTTACCCGGGGACCCTCCCCTGGGGAGATGGGGACCACATAGCCAGGGCAAGCCAGGCCACCTGTTGCACTTGAAATGGCAGTGAAGCTTCGCACCTATTTGGGCTTCTCCCTGAAAGCAAAGAGTCCTTTCCAAAGAGGGACCGCCTCAGGTCTTGTCCCTTCCCGCCCATGGGGACCAAGGACATCACTGCTGAAGCAGTAGGGACTCATGTGCAAAGTGGAACTTGAAGCTTTCCTGTGAACCATTGAGCATGTATCAGTGGGGGAGGAATTGACTGTTTGAGCAATGTCTCCCCAGGAGTTGCCAAAGAAGCTAATTTACCTGTTTCTCATACAATGTGCTTATTAAAATAAACTTTTACTCCATTATGCTGTGGTAAGTAACAGGCCTCCTGCAGGCAAAATGGAAAAGGGCAGAGTGAAGTTTCTTTACCTTTTTATTTTTTTTCCTGAGGCATTGTCTTCTGAAACCAGCATCATCCATATTATTAATGGCTTGTGGGCCTTTATCATGCATTGCATTACTCCCTTGGAATTAAACTGCACATATAAAGTATGAAAAATGTACTTTTTTTTAAACAGTAAAAAAGTAATTTTCTCGCATAATATCCAAAATAAAGTGCCATGGAGCCATTAGTAGTAAATTGAATTTTTTGGTATGTAATTTGTACAAAAACTGACAAGTGCGAGGCCCCCTCTCCCCAGTCATTAGTTACTGGGCTTGGCGGACACCGAGGCACTAATCTGCAAGGACAGGCATTTTGATGTCGACTTCAATTGCACACTTCATTTATTTGGACAGGGGACAGGCGGCAGCTTCTGTCACAAGGCCTCACTACACTATTAGCGAATTTCGCCCCAGGGCAGCTGGGACGCTGGGCTGGGGCAGATGTTCTTTTCAGCCTATTCAGTGACCATTCTTGGGGGTTGTTTACTGTTGCCATGGTGACCTTCATTTCCATAGCAGCAGAGCTGCTGTTTCTCAGAGGGAAATGAATTTAGTTATAAAGGGATAATATTTTTCTCCGTCTCTGTATAACCTGCCATCTGTCAACCGGTGGATTGGTAAGGATTCAGAAACCTATTAAGATTTATAGCAATAAAGTGATGAGTATTTGGGGAGGGAGCAAATGAAAAGCAATAATAAATGAGAACGTAAGCACTCTGTGCCTTCAACATCAGAACTTTCTCAGTTCTTTTCTTTATATTTTATGTGCTTTGAAAAAAAAAGAAAAAGGTGCCTTCATCACCCCCAACACTGCTGTGCACACACAGAACCTCATAAAATACAATTTCCATTCTGCTGACGAATGGAAATGACCAAATGTCTCGCTTGTATCTGTCTGGATGCAGGTGCATTCGGTGTTTTCTCTTCACGGTGATGCTGAGTCATCCCCAGCATTAAAGATTCCCAGGCTGACCTTCCTATTGTTACCTGCTTTCCTTCTCCACCACCCCAGAGTTAAACTGAGGGGCGCCTAGATCTGCATCTTATCCGAAACCCACAGTGCAGGCAACATTAATGACGTGAGAAGGAGCCATGCTCATAGATTTAAAGAAGAAAAAAATGCTAGCATATTCCTTGAATCTCATCTCACCTTGCGGTCCCTCATTTAGTTCCTGGATTTACCCCCCTCTGTCTCATTCATAAGCTGTAAGCTGCAGGGGGAAAAAACACACACACACACACACACACCAGCCCCGTTGTGAATAATGTTATTTATTGGTTGATTTTTCCAGATCCTGACATTGACGCTGCCAGTGCCATGATGCTTTTGAATTCTCCCCCTGAGATACAAGCAGGTTGTGAGTAGATGTTTCTATAGCATACAGCCCCGTAGTTTGTGAACTTAACCTTCTCGTTTACACCCCAGGCCGTAGGAAGAACTAATGCTGACCCAGCCCTGCACTCGTAGCGTCCCTTTCAAAACTAAGCGTGCATCTAACATGCAAGCGCACGTATACATGCAGCCACGCACACGCGTGAGCCAGTGCCAAGGTGTGCTCCCAGGATGAGAGAGCTCTCACATCCTGTCAGGGCTGAGGAGATGAGAAACAGACCTGCTGGAGACCTTTGTCCTACAGGAATCATTCCCGGGACTTCGAAGGAGAGCCTCCCTGGGCCAGCTTCTCCGTGACGGGGCTGGCGGCACCCAGTTTATAGCCATTATTTTCTGTCGAGGGCTTTGATGATGTTAGGGTGTGTTCTAGAAAGTTTGTCCCACCCATGCTTGGCTTAGCCTTAAAAAGGGCCCACAGTGCCACGTTGCATCCCATGCGCCCTGCCCGCTAGGCAGCCACAGGGTGAAGGGCGGGGCCGGTGCAGCTAAGTGGGGCTCCCTGAGCAGCGCTCACTTAATTAAGACACCTCTTTTCTTGCTTGGACTTGACTCTTGCCCGCTACCTGCTTTCTGTCCATTCCTTTTCTCATCGTTATAGCTGACCCGAAACGAAGATGTCTGTGCTCTCTGCACTACTTGAGGCCAGCAACTCTGTCAGTTTACTGCACTCACTCTCTCTCTCTCTCTCTCTCTCTCTCTCTCTCACACACACACACACACACACACACGTGCAGAAAGTGATTTTATGTAGCAGATCCTCTTGTGACACGACTAGTGGCTGTTGCCTACCTGTCATGTGCCTGCGACTAGGTTTCCAGCTGGTTTGGAGCTCTGGCCTTCTGAAGATACCATGGCCCTCTAAGCAATGAAAATTCCCCCACCTTGGAGACAGTAGTATTTTCTACAAGAAACTACCCATCCCTAAGTCCACAGTAGATTCATGTGTACTGGTGGGAATTCCAGACATGCACACACACACACTCATACACACACACCCTGTCCATAGCTGTAGGAAATTTAACACCTTCTTTTCTTCTTTGTACCTATTTTAAAAGATCCAAGAGATACCGCCAAGCATTCTCAGACAACCTGGCCCTCTCTGCCTGGGGCTGCCCTTACTTGTCCTGACTGCAGGACTCTGGTTCCCCTTTGTCAGCCTCCATTTCCTGGCATTTGGAATGTGAAGCTGCTCAGGACAGCCTACTCCACTGCTAAGTAGATAGGCAGCAGGCAGAGTTCTGCAACTAGCAGTTAACCTGGCTAGCCCGGAGTATGGCTTTGAAGTGATGTTTTAAGTTTCAGAGAAATCTATACTTAAAATCCATTCTTAGACGGCCTTTCAGGAAAAGTTACAGACTCCGGTCATAATCAAGTCACGGGCTGGAAAGGTCCCTATGAGCAGGTCACAAAACCCGCCTTAGTGGAAACACTTGACCTGTCTCATCAGAGCTGTGTAAGAGCCAAACACCTTCCTCGGCTCGCAGCCACTTTTGCTGTGTTTGTTACTTTATGTATATATACCTCTGATGAACTGGTCCCTAGGTTGAGAAGGAGAATGGAGAGTCTGGAAGAGGCAGGGGGTGTGGCCTGAGCACTCAGATCTTCAGTGTCTTTCCTGAAAGTCTCTCATTCTGGGGCTCTTGACCACAGGTTGGGTTCTGATTCGCTAACAGGATCATTTTCAGTGTTTTCTCGGCCAGATGACCTTCTCCTCTCTCCATCCATGTAACTCTCCAACTGTAATTGTCCTGCTGGAATATCTATAGTCCTAGTTATGTCAGAATGCGGAATTGAGACCTAAAAGTGCTCGTGTGTTAAACGTATAGATTGTTTTTCATTCTTTTTAAGATGGGGTTCCATGCGACCCCGCTGGCCCCAGACTTGCTGTGTAGCCAGGGATGACCTTGAACTTCTTACCCCCTGCCTTCATTTCCCTGGCATGCACCACCATACCCAGTTTTATGTGAGCTGGGGATTGAAATGAGGACCTGAGACTGGGTTCCCCAGTTCTGTGGGGTAATTTTAGGGGGCTTTTTCCCCCAGAGCTTTTAACATTCTGCGAGAAAGTCTGGCCACAGCCGTCATGAGGGCCACAGGCCAAGAAAGCTCTCCGGGGCCCTGGCAGGCACCAATCAGGATGCCCCTGAAGGTCGTGGAAGGAAACACTCACAGGGCAGGAACAGCAGATGTAGACTTCAGAGCAAGGAGAGGATGGAGACACTGGCTTCATATTTGCCTTTCCATCTGACCTCCAGTATCAGTCTGGAGGTCAAATGTAAGTCCTGGGCTGCAGAGCCCCTAAAGATTGGAGCAGTGCCACAGTTAGGGATCGTGCTAAATCCACCATCTCCTAGTGGGCACAGCCAGAGGGGAATGTGTCCAGCTGTCCACTGCTGCTCCCGCCAGCTCTTTCTAACCCACTTCAACTGAATCTTTATTTTCCTTTACATTGCTGGCTTCTTTTCTTTTCTTTTTTAATTTCTATTTATTTATTTTGAGGCAGGGTTTCTCTGTGCAGCTCTGACTATCCTGGAACTCCCTTTGTAGACCAGGCTGGACTCAAACTCAGATCTGCCTGCCCCTGCCTCCTGAGTGAGATTAAAGACATGTGCCATCACCTCCTGGCAACATTGCTAGTCTCTTCCCTTGAGATTTGAGGCAGTGCCTTGCCTCCTCAAGGTCAAAAGACGCCTTGGAGAGACAGGAAGATAAAGCCCCCATTACCTGCCTTGATAGCATTGCCCCAGGCCTAGGTATGACTCCTCAGTAAATGCATAAAGGCAACAATGCCCAGCCTCCATGATGGAGAATGGGCAGCGTGGATAGTGATGTTCATGTTTGTGTATCCTGGTATGGGAGCACACAGACCTCCTCCCACGGTCAGAAGCTGGGCAGCCCATCTTCTGAGCACTCCATATGTTTCCTGCCTGTTCCCTCACCCTGGGGCTGGTTGCTGTGGCCAGACTCTGTTTATAGAGCTTCCTCGTGCCTTGCTATTTATAGCTTCCTGCTTCACTCATCCCTGGACTGCCCCTGAAAGTGGCAAGCTACCCACCTCATCTCCTGGCACTGTTCACTCCTAGCAATTACAGACTGGCTTGGTTGCTAGAAAGGGTCCTTCTCCTCCCCCCACCCCACTACCTCCCATATCATCCTCCTTTGCAGCCACTGCATTTCAGGTCACCAAGTGGCAGACCCTTCGATCTCTTCCTCTCCCCTTTCTTGGTTGACATCTGCAAAGCTAGCTGGGGCTGGCAGACTGGCCACCCCCAGGCTCTGAAGCTGGGTGAGTTCTAGAAAAGCATCTGGTGGGAACCGAGGAGCCCTGCGCACCCTGCAGTGGTTGGACTGGAGTCTAGAGGGCCCACTACCTCTTGCTTCATTCGTCTGCTCCCATTTGAATGAGCCAGTGAGGTATAGCCTTGGGTTCTAACTGTCCCCTCCCTGGTATCACCTACATTCTGCAAGGAGGGTCATCATCTCTTATGTGCTCAAAATGCCACTTCCAGAACAGTCAGCAGAGAGCATGGCTGCCGGCTCATCTTCTTAACTTCTGAAATCAAAATCTGCCCACCCACTCCAGTCTCCTCCTAGAAGAGTGGCAACGGGGGCTAATTTCAGCGTCGGGTATCTCCTGAATCACCTGCCTAGTAGCTAGCTCCCCTGACAATCCTTATGAGTCATCTTTAACCCCTGTGGAGAAACCAGGTCACCATTACCCATCTCCAAAGGCTTATATAAGCCCCGGTTGGAATTTTCCCAGAGACGGAACTCTTAGGTAATAAACAGAACAGCAGAATGGAGCAAGAAGGCAGGGGAATGCTGCCTGGAACTAGGGTATATTGTCCGCCATGTCAGGCTCCACGGGAGAAAGAGCACAGGAAACAGGCTGGGTCCTGTCATGCCGGCCCTTCCCCAGCCTGCTTCCAAGCAGGCAGGTGGAAGGGGAGCCTTCGGGGGAGGAAGGATGACAGGAATGGCCTGCTGCTCAGCTTATGGCCTCTGATGGCATTAGCCAGGGCTGCCCACCAACTGCAGAGCTGCGAGCTCCCCACTGAGGTTATTTTTAGATGTTGCAGAGACGAAGGGAGGTGCCTATCAAAAAGACGGGTGGTTAAGTGCCTAGGGACAGCACAGGGCAGGAAGGTAGGAAGGTTTGTTTCCCCGCCTCCGACCTGCAGAACGAAAATGAGCTTTAGACCCCGTGAAGTGTCTGAGTTAGTAAAGTGGGAGAATGTGGAGCTGAGTCCCAAAAGTGTGTGTTTGGGAGAACTGGGGCAGGGGACAAGGGGGATACAATCATGCCTGTAATTCCGGTTCTGGGGAGGCAGGGACTAGTAAAGCCTAGCTCCCCACAAGCTGACATGGCTTGAGGATGTTGATAGAGAACAGCATACATTGTCAGCCTCAGTCGATCCTAGGAACCTGTCCATGTGTGCATGCTCACTTCATGCACGCAGAGACAGAAAGGACTCGGAAGGGTGCCCTGTCACTTAAGGCCACAGCATCTGCACTGAGCCATGCTGCCTCATTGTCCCTGGTTAGGCCTGACACATTCTATGGCTTAAGTACTGGGGACTCTGGTGCTGAGGGCTGTGCACTGGGCCCAGCAACCTATCTCTTCTTCCAGGTTGCTAGGAGAAAAGGTGTGTGTGCCGGGTCTACAAGAAAGTGTGTGCCAGAGGCTCAGACCTCTTCTAGTGGGAGGACAAAGTTGGCTTTGGATGTGTATTTTCCTAAGTCAATGTTTTTAGGAGGTAGATAGCTTGAGAAGGTGTCTTAGGGTTTTCTGTTGCTTCAACAAAACACTGTGACTTAATAGCAGGTTGGGAAGGAAAGGGTTTATTTGGCTTATATTTCCAGATCATAGTCCATCACTGGAAGAAGTCAGGACAGGAACTCAAGCAGGGCTGGAACCTGGAGGCAGGAGCTGATGCAGAAGCATGGAGGGGTGCTGCTCACTGGCTTGCTCCCCATGGCTTGCTCGGCCTGCTTTCTTATAGAAAGACCACCAGCCCAGGGATGGCCCCACCCACAGTGGGCTGGGCCCTCCCCCATGGGGCCTTGTGTGTGACAGGCGAGCGCTCCAATGACGGAACACCAGTCTCGGTTCTGAAAACATATTCCTCGAGACCAAAAAATTATGAAACGTGTGTGTTAGTAATTTGTTTCATGAAAGTACTTAATGTTTGCAAATAACATGGCTTTTAAGTTTTGACATCCAGACTGGTTTCCATTTTTAAATGTTTTAATTTTCTAGTATTTCACTGATGCTTGCTTGAAAGGGTACTATTTATTCATCTCTCTTCAGTATAGGACTGTGCCGGGGTTATGGGGAGGCAGGAGAGGTCTAGAATATCTTTAGAGAGTAGAACAAACATTTGGGGACTTCCACAGCCAGACAGGTAGGCCGTGTCTGTAGATGCCGCAGGGGCTAGAGGCTTACCTTGCACCAGCTGAAGCTGCCGTTTAGGAGGTGACTAACAGTCAGATGTACAGGACTCCCTGTTATGTAAATTCTTGGGGACATGGTGGGGAGGGTGGCATGCCACACAGGACCTTTGGTTGCTGGTGGATCACCTTGAGGGCTACTCCAGGGGTCAGTGTGTGCGGAAGAAAGCGGAGGAGTGAGGAAAGCTGGAAAGGGTTGTGGGGAAAGACACACAGGGCCCTGAAGCCCGTCCAGAAGCCATGGCTTGAGGCCAGCGCATCCCTCCAGGCAACCCTGGGGGAAGACGAAGATCCCTGTGTGAACATGGGAGGTAGAGGGCCTGAGTCCCTCGGAAAAGGACCTGGCTGTGGTTGTTTAGCCACTTTCCCCGCTTTCTGGGTGAGGACAGATAAGAGGTACCCTCAACCTTTGACAGAGCAGGCATGAGAAATGTGATGGTTGGGTCGTCCGTAGCCCCGCTGCCGTCTCGGCCACATTAAATGTTCCTGGAGAAAGACCAGAGAGGAGAGGTTTTACCAATAGGTATAGGAAATTTTGTTTTGTTCTGTGTTGGGGTGTCTGTGCGTGCGTGTGTGCCTTCACTGCACGGGTGACTATTCGGGCAGGTGTGCCTGGCCGTCATCCTAGAGAAGCCAGAGCAGGCTGTTGGGACTTCCTCTGTCGCTGCCCAGCGCTAGGGTTAGGGGCAAGCCCAGCCCTTTTCCGGGACGCTAAGAATTCCTACTGTGGTCTCTGCTCACAGAGCAAGAACTCTGAGCCACTGAGCCTTCTGTCCCCAGCCCAGAGCGCCCCCACCCCGCTTTGAACTTGTGTCTGATTGATTCTTTTTTAACGGAAGCATCAGTAATTTGTAAGCTCTTGATGACTCTGCTGGCACAGTATCTTTCTATCTCGTTCTCTGTACCACTTCCACTCTGCGTGGGTTTGTGTGTGCACACTCATTGGGCACCCCTTCTCTCTTTCAAATTTGTAACTTCTTTACAGTTGGATTCATCTGTGACGTCCGTTTTTCTTTTTCTTTTTTTTTTTTTTCTAGTTTCTCCAGGAGTGATACAAAACGGAACGAGGGTGCTGAGCCGAGGGCTGTTTCCAGGTGTCCGCCCATTGCCGATTACTCCCATTGGGGTGACAGCAGCCATAAGGTAAGGGAAGAGCTTTCTGGGCAGATCCTGCCTGGGTGGTGGGGAAAACACCCCTGTATGCCCCAGGGTCCTCAGAAGGCGGAGAGGACCTTGTTGGGATGTTCCACAAAGCCAAAGGCACTGATAGCACATCCCAATGCCACCATCGTTTTGTTCTCCTGTGAGGAGATGGGAAGAAATGGGCTAGAAGGCAAGGGTGGGCAGTTGCTGATTGGGCTTTAGGTCTTTTTCATGCCTGTGACCCTGCGATGGTGTCTCATCTCTCTCTGGACCTGCCTCAGTTTCCTCATCTGTGAAACTCCATGTCTGCATGGAGGGGTGCAGTAAACCGTGCAGGATTGCATGTGAAACGTGATTTGGTAAGGACTCTGTGAACAACAGGGGTGTCATTTCCCGGCTTCTGAGAGTCAGGTCGGGGGAGACGGAATGAGCTCTTCTTTGAGTGATTTTTTTCCCCATCCTCCTCCTCATCCCCTCGGTGTGGCAGCCTCCTCTAGCCCATCTGTCAGTCACCACCTGACCAGTTCGGGCCACCAGAAGCTCTTTCCATGACTCCCTCTACCCCCGACATCACCCTGACATCCCCCACCCTGGGCGTCTCCAAGCCAGATGTGTTCAGTGGTGCCTTAGTTTCTTTTCTTTTCTTTCTTTTTTTAAAAAATATATTGACAAAAGCAACTTGAGGGGAAAAGGCTGGTATTTAAGGGGTGTGGTCCATCATGGCAGGGAAGTCAAAGCAACAGGGACTCAAAGCAGCTGGACACATGGCAGTCAGGATGCAGAGACGGATGGTGCTACCTACCGTGGAGGCCTTTCCCCTTCCGCTACTCAAAGCCTACCTCTCAGGTATTCTGGCTCTGCCTCCTTGACGGCTCACACTAACCACCACAGGCAGATGACCCATGACCTGTGTGTGCATCTGACACTGCAGCGTCTTCTGTCCATTTCCCTCACTGCTCATATGGTTCCTGCAGAACACTTCTCTAAAAAGGCACACCAACATGAGCTTCAGCCGTGGCCCTTTTTTGGCATGTAGCCCTGTTTTGATAGTATTTCTATGGGTCCTGTTTTCTCAGTGGCTTGCTTTTTGTGGGTGGGGCTAGCCTTTCTCAGCTGACCAATCAGGTTCAACTTAGGGGCAGAGCAAGCTGCTTGTTTGCTAATATTCTTTCTTTCTTTCTTTCTTTCTTTCTTTCTTTCTTTCTTTCTTTCTTTCTTTCTCTCTCTCTCTTTTTCTTTCTTTCTTTCTCTCTCTCTCTCTCTCTCTTTTTTCTTACTCTCTCTTTATTTGTCACATTGGGGGTCATGGTTGCACCTTGTCCTTTTCTGTTATTGTCATAAGATACCATGACCTAAAGTAACTCAGGGAAGAAAGTTTTATTTTGTCAGAGTTCCAGAGAGGATACAGTCCATCCTGGAAGGGATGCATAGCAACGGGAGCAGGAAGCTGACTGGTTATCCTTACACACACACACACACACACACACACACACACACGGTGGGAAGATGCTTGGGAGGGAGGCATTAGCAGAATATTATCCAAATATGATCTTGTACATAACCAATTGGCTCAGTTTTCCAAAAGACGTGTCAAGGGGGGGATTGTAAACCTGGGGACATTTGCGTGTGCTGTCCGCCCTCTTCAGAAGAGCGAGCATATAGCTGTGTAGGCATTGCAGATTCGGCATCACCTAAGACCAAGTGAGAAATCTGATTCTGCTCACTCCCATTCACCATAAATTAAGTTTGGCCCCCTGCCAGTCCATGGACAGCGTGTGCCTGAGGGTCTGGCACGTTTGCCAACACTCACCTGGGAGAGCCGTTGGTACCCACTATAGGCCGGTGCCCACCTCTCCCATGTGTGACAGGTTTTCTATGTAATTCTAATCACTTCCCAACTTAAGTGAAAATATTTATCTTTCAGGGATTCTCTTCCCCCTCTGCTGAGTGGCAAAGGCCATGTTTGTTTGTCTTGAGTCTGAAACTGTTATTGACATAGATGAAGTGTTACTTTTATTAGCTGATCATTACACAGCTTGTATTTGCTGGGTTCCTTTGCATATAATTATGATGCGAAATCTCCTCGTTAAGAGCATCTGTCAATAGTGTAATTGACTCGACCGTGTTGACTTTTTACTCAATAACCTCCAAGATTGGCCCATCCTTAGACATTGGAAACCTGCTTATCTTTAAATTTGCCGGGACTCAGAGTGCTCAGGATGCTGGGTCCTCACAGTGAATGCTCTAGGAGCACAGTGCACTCTGCCTGCTGCTGCTGCTGCTGCTGCTGCTGCTGCTGCTGCTGCTGCCCCAGGGGAAATGCTATGCAGAGCTTCCATGGAGTGGATGGAGCTGGAAATGTATATCAGTGGAAGAGCGCCTGCCAATCCGAGTGAGACCCTAGGTTCAATTCCTGATGTGAGATAGGTAGGTAGGTGGGTAGATAGATGATAGATAGATAGATAGATAGATAGATAGATAGATAGATAGATAGATAGATAGATATGGAACATGTGACCACAGTCCTAGGAGAAGAGGGGCCAGTGTTCTTTCCTCTGGTGCTATGTGCTGTAGGGAGGCCACAAGTATGTGGGATCTAAAACATCTTAGTTTTAATTTCAAGATCTTTTCTTAAAGAAAAAGGATTAAGTTTTCATTTTATGGGTATACATGTTGCCCACTGGAGGCTAAAAGAGAGTTATCACCTCCTAGAACTGGGTTTAAGGACAGTTGTAAGCTGCCATGTTGGCACCAGGAACTGAGCCGTAGTCCTCTGAAAGAACAGCGAGTGTTCTTAACCATTGAGCCATCTCTCCAGCCCCAAGAACTCTGTTTTAAAATGGTATGTTTCTGGGAGCCGGGAGCATAGAGGTCAGAGGAAAATAAGCAGGAGTCAGTCTTTTCTCTCCACTGTGTGAGTCCTAGGGATTGAACTCAGATTGTCAGGCTGAGCAGCAAGCGCCTTCACCAGCTAACCCCCCCCTCACTGGCCCCTCAGGGCTGATTTTGCTTCCCTATATGTCCACCGTGATGAAAAAGAACTAAATGCCCCAGTTTTCACAGAGGATTGAAGAAATGGGTATGAGGTGAGTGCCCGGAAACTATGCAGAGAAGGCCAGAAACAGTCTCCAACCACTGAGCCTAACCTGCTTTGTCGTCTGTGCTGGGTAAATACAATCCGATTTCTTTGCGCTGAAAAGGGTTTGGTATGCATAAACAATATGTGTCTTCTTCCGTCACGCTCTCCGATGTTTATTGGCTTCATGTGGCTATAACTGAGTCATGCTGCTGTGTGATGCCACATTGTGTGAGTGTCCCCCAATTAAAAAAGACTTTCGGGTCATTGATGCTCATCTCAGCAGCCCTTGATAGTAAATTTTTAGAAAGATTTTGGCATTGTGGCACACACCTTGAACCCCCAGCAATCAGGAGGCAGAGGCAGAGACAGGCAGCTTTCTGTGAGCTCAAGGCCAGCCGAGAGAAAGTGAGAGAGAGAGAATCAAGTATGTTATCATAATAACAAAATTCTATCCAATCCTACTTTGCTGTATTTTATCCTTAACCAATCATTGAATTTTTATCCCCTTAAACTCACTGAAGTTTTTTTTTTTCTTCTTCTTCTTCTTCTTTACTCTGGTGAGTTGCATAGTAAATTTGCCAACTCTGAACAACACTTTTATTTCTTAGTGCTTATAACGGTTGACTCATTGTGTCCTGCTGGAGTTGCTGAACTGGTATCTTAAGTGTGGATTTTGCCATTTCGTTTATACAGCCTCTCTCTAGCTCTGTCCGTATCTAGTTTTAGTGTCAAGATTATATTAGGCCCGTAAATTAAATTGAGTATTCACTCTCATTAATCACTTTCCCCATCCTTTTCCATATGAAACCTAATGTCTTTATTGCCTGATAGTTGATGGAACTCATTTGCAAATCAGTGTGGTGCTGGCGTTCTCCTTACAGGATGATTAGTTGTTAGTTTAATTTGTGTAGTGATTACAGGCTAAGTTGGGCTTGGTATTTCCTGTTGAGCTCATTTGGTAACTCTGGGAATCTGTCCATTTCACCTAAGTGTTCAAGTACCTTGGCATAAAGTTGTTCTCAGTATTTATGAGCTCTTAAAATATCTTTTATAGCTATATGTTTTTCATTTTCATCTTTATCTTCTTTTTCGCTTTCTTAATATTGTCATTTTTTTTCTTCCAAAGTGTCATTTTACTTGAAAAGCCCTGTTTGAATGTATTTTAATTTACGTGCCCATGTGTGTATGTGGACCATGTGAGCGTAGTGCTCACAGAGACCAGCAGAGGGCACCAGATCCCCTGGAGCGGAAGTTACAGGTGCTTGTGAGCCACTGTGTGGGTCTTGGGAAGAGAATTATGGACCTCTGCAAGAGCAGCCAGTGCTCTGCATAGCTGAGCCATCTCTCCAACCCCTTCAGTGTCTTCAGCCTTTTGTTTTCCTTTCTTTTCTCTTCTATTTTTCTTTGTGCAGAGTGCATACCTTTTTAAAAATCCTTTTTCTACAAAGTTTAACATTTTTAATTTCCCACAGCCTTATTGCATCCCACCGTGTCACTGGCTTTTATTCTTACCATTGTTCAGCACTAAGTATTTTCTAATTTCCACTTTGATTTCTTCTTTGACTTGTACGTATTTTTGGAAGTATATATGTGACTTTCCAAGCCAAAGAACAAGTAGTAGTTTCATATTTTCTTAGCTTCTACTTCAACATTCACTGTGTTGCATGGTGCTGTGAGACTTCTTGGGAATTTGAGACATTTACATTTAGTCTTATAGTCCAGGATATATATATATATATAGTCAGGTATAGATAGATAAAGTAGAGTTTAGTATAAATCAGTTTTTAAGTGTTCCAGGTGTGCTTTTAAAAATATCTTTTCCATTATTTACTTGTTTGTGTATGTGTTAAATCCAGTCTACACAATAACCATCTGTGTGTATTCGCGTCTTATGTGTGAGAAGCCTGATTGATTGGCAGAG